TCATTCTCACCGTGTTGATCCAATTATTCCGAACGAATGCTCGAAACTGCTGCCTTTTTTCGAACTAAGATGTCTCTAGCAATACTGCGAGCCTCTGTACATCAGATTCCTGTTGCCTGATGCAGGTGTTCTTCACATGATTCGCGTCAATTATTTCACTAGTTACACTTAATTGGTTTGCTCCACCATTTGCGATCACCCTCTCTCTGTTCGTTAAAAAGGCGGTTCACTCCACAATAGTGATCACTGTACCTGATCATTAGATTAGACGAATCACAACATATTCCTGTAAATGAGTCTCTGTGAAACTTTCAGAGTATCATGCAACTTACCGTGCGCAGAGGATTCTCGCAGACCCTTACCACCCATTGCGAGCAGAACTGACTAGTGATCGTTCCAATTCTTCCACTCGCTCCGACTTCCGACAAATGCTATCTTGTGCATAGGAACACATCAATTTATTGTTGTCCTACCATTCGCATTGGTATAGGTTGTTGCGAGTAGTAGCTTCATTGAGGCGTTTTGCTCAATATATCTGCCTACTGTTTGCAAAAGAAAGACGTGACTCCGGTATCCATAAATAGGATGAATAACCGACTGCCATCATTCCACTCGGTTGATTTCGAACCACGTCATGTTAAGCTAAGACGGTCTGTAGAGAGATTTTTACGGATATATCTTCACTTGCATGACCATGAGGACGGTGCACTTAGAGCTAGCACACACTCAGAAGAGTCATTCATTTAGGCTATGGAGAGGATCACAGCTCGTAGAGGTCAGTCGGAACACATATTTAGTGATTATGGCTCCGATTTTGTCGGAGTAACTAATAAACCGAAAGGTTGCTTGCAGCTATGGCATCAGGATATAATCCATAATCACCCTCTAAAGTTCATCGTACAGTCAGCCCTCCTAACGCCAAGGGAGTTTGAGAAGGATGGGGGCTAATTGAGGTTATAAATAAAATACTGGCGGCGCTCCTGAGTTCGAAATAGGTCATGGATGAAGGTTGGCTCACGGGTCTGGTAGGAGCCGAAGGTCACATGAATAATCGACCTCGCCAAGTCAATCCGTAAGCGTTCGAGATACATGATGTGAAGTGCAACCTCATATTTTGGTTTTCCTGAACACTTCGGTGGGCCCCTCTGGTGATATCATTGCTGTTCTTGCCGCTTGGCTCACTCTATTTTATTCTTTAACCGGAATCTTACTACGATGTCGTCAGTTGCACAAATATTTTTCGATATGTGTGCATGATGGAACCTAATTTCGACTGTCGTTCAGCTGAGTTTTTCCACCTATTGCATTTTCTTTGTGTCGAGATCTGAACCTTTGGGGGGGGGGCTATCTTTGCAGCCACCTCCTGCAACCGTGGTTTACATCATTCATCGATAGAACCGAAATCCGATGCGGGGTTTGAAACTGGCATCCCAAATGTCCACGAAAATCCGATGGCTAAATCCGCTAATAATATCAAAATCAAGGAATTATCTGAAGATTTCACAACCCGGTGTTCATTTTTCTGTATCATGAAGGAAAAGTGGGGTAACGGAGCTCAATTAGTGACAGAACCCTAGTGGATCGAAGTCACAGGTAACTTGTAATGCTGATCAACAAACTCACTAAATGTAATTGTTATGTTTTCGAATTCGTAACGTCAATGATATGGACAGTTCCAGGACATTTGGATATTGCACCTGCTCTGGCGTTAATTTAGAATAATTCTAAAGAATCTATTTTCTTTGGTTAGGTCTTTCGATCTTCCCGCCTAAATTCTATTGGCCAACGTTGTTTTGATAGATGATAAACCTGAACCCTACATGTGCGTCACAACGGGGGAAGATTTCATCTGTACTATCTACTGACAAGCTCTGAAGTAGTCGGTTGATGAACACGATTATCTGAAAGTTGTTCTACCTTATACGCCACGCACTGAATGATAAATACAACGAGCAAAACACATGGTCAAAGATAGTGCGTAAGATGTGGGAAAGGGGCTCATTCACAGGTGAACCAGTTGAATGATTCTGCTTTCAAAGAGAGTGAAAGAGTGAGAGCTTGTAGGTGGGTGTGAAGAAAGAAAAATGAACAAATTTCNAATCAGCGAGAATATGGCATAGTAAAACATGAAGTACGACATGGAGAGACCGGAACTTGGAACGGATGACTGGGCGCTCGTGTATGGAATAGTCGTAGAATGTTCATAGAAGATCTAAGTGACGAAGAACCGAATCCAATGTAGTAGCAATGGAAAAGAAACTGAATAGTCAAGGCCTAACGATGGGCTAGTGTTTTGCAAATCAGAGGTTAGGGATTGGTCGCCAATCATCCGTATGACATTACTTTAAACCCGATCAAGGACTGAGACGCTATCAGATGAAACTCGGCAGTATTCAGGTGCCGGAAGGACGTATATGTTGCACAACGGAATAAACTAAGTCTACGAGGGCGGGGAAGTCGAAGCGTCGAGATCAACACACTTATGGGAGCCCTTGGA